ACTTGAACGAGTCTAATTTAGGTATTAAACTACGACAGTTCCATTGTAATAAAGTGATCATATCTTGATCCTCACTCGACGAATTATCCATCGAAAGATATGAATTCACCAATGAGGGGCCATGATGCAGTCAATTGCTTGAAGTAGTTTCCGACTATAGGAACAAGCAGGTCAATAAGCCCTCGAAGTGACGATTCGTCGGGAAAGCCGAGGGCATTCAAAATATTATCCACAATGTCCTTAAATTTAATCTTTCCTCGCTTGGACGGGAGAGTTTTCTTTGAATTGCGAGTAGACGTGGTGTTTATTTTTGGTAACCTCTTACGATTACCTTTATTAGGTTGCGGCGGGGTGGAAAAGCTGCAGCAAGGATCAGCTGGAGCAGCAATTACCGATTTGTTCGGCTTTTTCAATGAATCCCCGCTACCTTCAGATTTTTGCATGCTTTTGAGAGTGGTTTTATTTTTTTCCGGCGCACTCCCGGGGAGCTAGTCGGCTTCCTTTTACCGGGGGCGTGTACCTCCGGAGACTCACTCTCATCTGCTATGTCAGAGTCCAGTTCATCGGAAGACAAAATCTCAAAAGTGTTTTCATTTTGAGCGGCTGATGCCAACGAAGCAGAGGTTCCATTTTGCAACTTAACCATTTCTGCAAACGTCAGCTTGGAGCGTTCTTTTATTGAACGCTTCACATTGTTGGTACGCTTCTTGTACGCGGGGCAGTCCTGCAAAGCATGAAGAGGTTCTTTGCCACAGTAAGCACATTCAGTTGCTTCCTGTTGGCAAGCACCCTCCATGTGGTCTTGGCTACATTTGCCACAACGGGGCTTGTTGTCACAAAAAGCAGCTGTGTGTCCCAACTTTTTGCAGTTGGTACAATTATATACCCTTGGTACAAAAAGTCGCACCGGGAAAAAAAAACATTTTCAATTTCTAAGAACTTTGGGAGAACCGATCCAGCGAAAGACACCTGTAGTGAGCCTGAAGGGGAATAAGTTTTTTGAATATCTACCGTGGTCGCTGAATACAATATCCTGCAACCCAGAACGTCCACGGTAGATGTAGCAGCATTTTGAAGGCGCCCCATACCTTCGATGACGTCATCACACGTCAGGCTCACTGCAGAGACCACGCCGTCTATCTCCACATCTCGAGATGGGATGTAGACGTAATACTCTTCATTGTAACCCTCGTCGTCAGCAATCTCATTTGCGACTTTATATGTGAGCGCAGTTATACCAACAATCAATACGAAACTAACGATTTTAAATTGGCTCACCACTTTAGTAGCCTATTGGTCCCAAGCAAACGATTAACGTACCCTATTCTAGTTGAAATTCTATTACTACACTATGTTTGTTTTGATTTGCTATGAAAGTTTGACAGATAACATCAGGGGTGTGTGGATTCATGCAGAACATGCAGGGGTGAGTGAAATAGCTTGGGACTGCTTGGGACCGTTGTTCTGGTACTGAGTGAGCCAAAAATAATAATGATTTTCTTCGGGACCCAGTGGTCTTAGAGTTACCTCTATGGTTATACCACAAACGAAGTGACAGACGACTTACTGGCGAAGAAATCCATTTAAATAATGTGGTTCACTGTAATAGAATTTTCTTGGAAGCTTGTGCCATCATCCACCAGATGGGTTAGTTTTTTTGTTTTGATTTGAACAAAGTTGATTTTGTGTACAATGATTCTTTGACAGTGTGCAAAGAGTGCGTATCATTTTGTCATTTTTTTATGCATTTCAGTTTTGAGTAGAGTGAAAGAGATAGAACCAAAATATTCTAGTACATTTGGTGAAAATGCTAGTTCAATCCAATAATAGTGTTGCCATGTGGTACAATCAGTGGTGGCACGAGTCATGGAGTATAACATTTTTTCCTTAACATTTGATACTTTTTGCGATAACCATTGTGACGACACACAAAAACAAACTGGCAAGCGGCAAAAATGTCATGACATTTCTAAACTGTTTTCTGCAAGCGACAGAACATTTTCGCACAAACAAGCAGACAAGACCGGCGGCGTGCGCGACATAAATTTATGTCGTGTAGAATTTTGCTGATTTCTGGCTAATTACTGCATTTATTTGATGTTTATTGCATGGAATTAAAAGATAAGAATGAAGACTGACCACTCATAAGCATTGATGTTAAAATTATGCGTAAATAAGGGAGTTGGTAATTTACTGTCACACGCAAGCCTGCAGCTAAAATTTCATTACAATAAACTGTTTGGAAAAATCAGGCTGCGAGATTTTATTTATTCTCTATCTCCGCTGTTCGCTTGGAATGTAGTTATAAACGGCCGCCCGTGTGCTGGCTGTTTTGTTTCGCTCTGGACGATGGTTTTTTAAAAAATGTACTGTTGCCACCTCTGGGTACAATCCAGTAGTAGTGGTGTTGCCATGTGGTACACTGAAAAATTGCAATAGAAGGTTACCCGAAAAAAAATAACAACAAAAATACAATAAAAAACAATGTAACAATAAAACGAAAATTATTGTCTTAACAATGATTTATATTGTTACGTCTACAATAAATTTACCTTGATTAATGTTGTACAAAACAGTAAATTTCATGGTAAATGGAAAATTTACAATAAAAAAGGGGGGTTGTTAAGTATCTTAACAATGAAATTTTCGTGATTTCCCCATACAATTTTTTTTCAAAAACATTATATATTATTGTTATTTTACTGTTGGTTGGCGAATTTATTGATTAAAAAAATAACAGTGTACTTTAGAGTGTATGTGTTGGCTTGACAGATCTACTTTATCGACTTTAAAAATAAATCGAAAAAGTAAAACATCGCCCAAAACAAGGGAAGGGGGTGGTATGTCTGTTACGGGTGAGTCCTTTTTTTACTGGTTATGGATTGAGATTCGATCCGGAACTTGTGAGAAATGGAAGCCAACTCCCCTGCACTCGATCTCTCTAGGTCACGTCTCCTTGGTGGTTGAGGGTCGTTGATAAGCTAATGCATTCAACTGGAGAGAATCGCCCATGAAATATGCTTCCACCTGAGAGTTATTTCATGACATCTTCAAGTGGTGGATTTTTTTATTATTATTGTATGATTATTGACTGCACGGAAAAGGTCTGCATTAAGCGGGATTTAGATGATACAGGAGAGTTGAGTTCAACTCAAACCGATCTGGTCGTAGGCGTTCAATTGACTTGGCAACGAATAGAGCCAAACGAACTGTCAAAGCAAGAGCCATATGAGCAGCGCCTATCTTGATTACATTGGCAGTGTTGCTGACCCTCTCATAGTCTGCATGCTTCAATCAGATTTATTTTTATTGTTCGTGAAGTAACCCACAATGAAAACACACCAATATTTAATGTAACAACAATTTTTATTGTAATAGAGTTGTTCATTATTGTTCGTGATCGAATCATGTTAACAATAAAATAAATGAAAAATACAATAAAAATCATTGTAACAACATTTTATTATGTACATTCATTGTACAGATAGGTAGCAGTTTTGCCGTTTTCGGAAGGGTACAACATTATAACAATCATTTTTATTGTCGACAATAAATATTAATGTCAGAGCATTGTTTCCACTGAAAATTTCACTGTAATTTTTTTTTCGGGTAGTCACCAAAGTTTTCGAGCCGCTCCGTCTGTCACTTCGTTTGTGGTTATACGCAGTTTGTTCCGATTGACCTGATGAAATTCGGTCCCCGGGAAACGACGCGTCAACGTTCTTTTAATCCCTAAGAAGTTTAGGGCTTTCTCTTTCTGCCGAAAGTAGACAACCCAAGGCGAAGCAGAAGACGCCTGGTAATGACGCTTTCTTACTTTATCATTGGGAGGCTTGACGCCCCGAATAGAAATTTACATTAGCCCAACGTTTGATTTTGATGTCTACATCAGCATCGAAATCAAATGTATGCCTGATGTCAAACATTAGAAAACATTATGATTTAGTTGTATTTAAGCAACGTAACATGGTGTATACATCAGAAATTTTGGAACAAAATTTTGCCATTCTAATGTCGGTCTGACGTCAAAAATTTCAATCTCTTGACATTAGAACCAAACGTTTTAAGGATGTTTTCTGATGTACATTACGTTAGAACTAAACGTTGTTCGGATGTTTTTATATGTAAACGTTTTCTGATGTTTTCTAATGTAGATGTTTCCCGATGTTAGAACCAAACGTTTTCGGATGTTCTCGGATGTAAAAAACGTTAGAACTAAACGTTGTTTAAATGTTTTTATATGTAAATGTTTTCTGATGTTTTTTAATGTAGAAGTTTCCTGATGTTAGAACCAAACGTTTTTGGATGTTTTCGGATGTAAAAAACGTTAGAACTAAACGTTGTTCGGATGTTTTTATATGTAAATGTATTCTAATGTTTTCTTATGTAGATGTTTCCCGATGCTAGAACCAAACGTTTTTTGGATGTTTTCGGATGTACACAACGTTAGAACTAAACGTTGTTCGGATGTTTTCAATTGTACTTCCTGTTTGTTGTTCTCTGATGTTTTCAGATGTACAAAACGTTTAAAGTAAACGTTGTTTGAATGTTTTAAAATGTAGATGTTTACTTATGTTTTAAGTAGTATAACCACTAGAATCTTACTTTTCAAATGCTTTCAATTATATTTACAACACATTAGAATTAGCAACATAATCGTGTAAACACTACACACCATTGTTGTTAGATAACATCATAAAAATGCGTACATAACTGTCAATGCTGAAGCTCCCGTTTCCCACCAGTCAGTTAACTGACCTTAGCTAACCTAATGTCATTGCGGCAACTCTCTATGCGGCAGGGGAACTATGCCATTAGCGCGCTAAGAGTTATTAGACCACTGACATAGGCGCCAATTTGTAGGTGACGAGGCACTTGGTGACATTACAGCGAGCTTGACGATTGTTGCAGCATTTTTTAATCAAACTAACAGTTAAGGTGTGTAGTGTTTACAAGATCATGTTTCTAGCACAACAATTGAAAGCATTGGAAAAGTTAATTCTCATGTTTTGCACAATCAGAAAACATAAAATTGTACAAAAAAAATCATCCATTCTGGTAGACTATCTCTTAAATGCATACAGAATAGCCATTGCGTAAGCTCCCGTTTCCCACCAGTCAGTTAACTGACCTTAGCTAACCTAATGTCATTGTGGTAACTCTCTATGCGGCAGGGGAACTATGCCATTAGCGCGCTAAGAGTTATTAGACCACTGACATAGGCGCCAATTTGTAGGTGACGAGGCACTAGGTGACGTTACAGCGAGCTTGACGATTGTTGTATCATTTTTGAACGAACTACCAGACAAAGATGCCTAGTATTTACATAATCAAGTTTCCAAATCTACAGGGCCACCCACATTAGATCCGGATCTGGCGCGATGCAGCAAAGTGACAGCTAAATATATTGTCTAACTATAAAATTTACGACAACGCAACGCAAGCAGATCTAATGTGGGTTACCCTTAAGGCCTGTGGAAGAGTGAAAACTGGTGGCCGCGTGAAACTTTAGGGAAATTCCCCAATAATTTGCAAAATTTAGCAAAACACAAATGCTCCGTCCATGTGTCGAACCACAAACGAAACTCGTCAGTTGGTGGGGATTGATGACTTCCTTGGTTGCTTTGGTGGTGTCATGCCTTCCTTCGAAAAGAAGCACAGCCGTGGATCCTGGCCCTTGAGTTGATGAGTCCAGGTCTAGGTGTTCAATTGCCTCCCTAGCGTAAGTGGTTGCCACTCGGTTGCAGAACATAGAACGATAGAAAATAAACAAGAAAACAAAGCCAAATTGAAGATTAATCCAGGGATTTTGCAATAAATATTTAGATGAGCTAAGACTAGAGAATGCTAGAGAAACTGAAAGACTATCAAAGCAAACTATGCACCTAGATCCAAATCTTTTCAGAAAACTTATCAATACGCATAGTTTGAACCGATGTATAAACATCATGCAGACATTGTTGTCTTTGAAATGTCTACGAGCCAGGTAAAGGGCCGAACCCAATGACACCAGGACAGCGGCATAGCGGTATAGGGGTAAATGTACATTTTAAGGTTAGTTAGAAGAACTACTAGAACTTCAGGGTAGTTCCATAGAGGTAACTCTAAGACCACTGGGTCCCGAAGAAAATCATTATTATTTTTGGCTCACTCAGTACCAGAACAACGGTCCCAAGCAGTCCCAAGCTATTTCACTCACCCCTGCATGTTCTGCATGAATCCACACACCCCTGATGTTATCTGTCAAACTTTCATAGCGAATCAAAACAAACATAGTGTAGTAATAGAATTTCAACTAGAATAGGGTACGTTAATCGTTTGCTTGGGACCAATAGGCTACTAAAGTGGTGAGCCAATTTAAAATCGTTAGTTTCGTATTGATTGTTGGTAGTTCTATAAACATCAGAAAAATACCAGATTTAATTTAATTTAAGTTAATAATTATTCTGAAGACCTACAACTGAACAGAAATTCAAACGATGTCCTTTTGATATTCTTTGAATAGTTTAAATTGATCAGGTATTATTCTGAGAACCTACAACTGATCAATAAATCAATCGAAACTTTTCGGATATTACTACAAGAGATCAAAATAAGCAGGAATTGTTTTGAAGACCTACAACTGATCAGAAATTCAAATAAAGTAATTTAGAAAATATTCGAAGTGGTCAGGTTGATAAGGATTAGAAATTAAAATCTTGAGATATTTTTCGAAGAGGTCAAGTTGATCAGGAATTATTCTGAGGACCAACATCTGATAAAAAATCGAATTGAAGTCGTTTGAAAATTTCTTCAGAACGTAGAATAATCGGAAATTGTTATGAAGATCTTACTACACCGAAGGTCGTAGATCTTCAGAGAAACTAGCAGAACTTTAGGGAAATTAAAAAAAAACTTCAGAGAAGTTTTAAAAAACTGAAATCTTTAGAGAAATCAAAAGAAAATCAGGGAAGTTCGTAGATCTTCTGAGTAATTTACAGCACTACAGTAATGTTTGTCGTCGTTTCGAGAAATAATCACTACTTTATGGATGTTCACAGATCTTCAGGGAAGTTTGAAGATCTTCAGAGAAATTAACAGAACTACAGTGATGTTCGTAAATTTAAAGATAATTTTTTAGTTCCTAAGGGAAATTTATAGAACAGAATTTCAGAGAAGTTCGCAGAACTTTAGATAAACTCACAGAACTTCAGGGAAGATCACATAAATTTAAAGATCCTCGTACATCTAAGAGTTATTTTCAGTACTTCAGGGCAGTTCACAGAGCTTTAGGCAAATTGGCAGAACGTCAGGGAAAAATACTGAATTTCAGGGAAGATTGTTGATCCTCAGAGAAATTTGCAGAACTTAAAGGAGGTCTTCAGATAAATTTTTATTGCTTCAGAAAAAAATTGCAGAAATTCAGGAAAGTTTTGTAGACTTTTAGAGAAATTTTTAATATTTTAATGCTTCAGGGTAGTTCGAAGATCTTCAGAGAAATTCACAGACCTTCAGGGAGTACACAGAACTTCAGGGAAGTTCGAAGATCGTCTAAGTAATTTGCAGATTTTTAGGAAAATTTAACATAACTTTTACTTAACTTTAACTAAACTTTAACATAACCTTAACTTAATTTTAACTGAAATTTATTATAATTTAAATTTTAACATAACTTTAACCTAACATCAACTAACCATATCTTTAACTTCACTTTAGCTTTAACATAAATTTAACTAAACTTTAACATAACCTTAACGTAATTTTAACTTAAATTTAACATAACTGAACTTTAACTTAACTTAAGCATTAACATAACTCTAAATTAATTTTAACATAACTTTAACTTAATTTTAACTTAGCTTTCACATAACTTTACCTTGAACATTACTTCAACTTTAACTTCCCGAAAAAAAAATTACAGTGAAATTTTCAGTGGAAACAATGCTCTAACATTCATATTTATTGTCGACAATAAAAATGATTGTTATAATGTTGTACTCTTCCGAAAACGGCAAAACTGCTACCTAGCTGTACAATGAATGTACATAATAAAATGTTGTTACAATGATTTTTATCGTATTTTTCATTTATTTTATTGTTAACATGATTCGATCATGAACAATAATGAACAACTCAATTACAATAAAAATTGTTGTTACATTAAATATTGGTGTATTTTCATTGTGGGTTACTTCACGAACAATAAAAATAAATCTGATTGAAGCATGCAGACTATGAGAGGGTCAGCAACACTGCCAATGTAACTAAGGGTACGGCCAGGGTAGACGCGATTCGCGGCGCGACGCGACCAATTCAAAAGAATCTTATTATTTATTATTATTCCTTGCGTGAGTCGCATCGCGTCGCGTCGTGTGTCGCGTCTACCCTGGCCGCGGCCTAAGATAGGCGCTGCTCGTATGGCTCTGGCTTTGACAGTTCGTTTGGCTCAAAATCAGGCAGTCCGCGTCCGCTCATATCTTATCCTAGACCCTCTCTAAAGCTTAATGGAGACCTTTTCCGTGCAGTCAACCCTAATAAAAATTGTATGGTTAATTTGCTTAACGACGTGTTCTGGGTATCATCCAAACCATTTGTGAAATAGTTCAATGATTTGGGTTATCGTTCGTTTATGGTTATTTTTTATTAGGGAATAATCATACAATAATAATAAAAAACTCCACCACTTGAAGATGTCAGAAAGGAACTCTCAGGTGGAAGCATATTTCATGGGCGATTCTCTCCAGTCGAATGCATTAACTTATCAACGGCGCTCAACCCCCAAGGAGACGTGACCTAGGGATATCGAGCGCAGGGGAGTTGGCCTGTATTTCTCACAAGTTCCGGATCGAATCTCGATCCATAACCAGTAAAAAAAAGGACCACCCATAACAGACATGCCACCCCCTTCCCTTCCCGGGGCAATGTTTTATTTTTTCGATTTATTTTTAAAATCGATAAAGTAGATCTGTCAAGCCAACACATACACTCTAAAGTACACTGTTATTTTTTTAATCAATAAATTCGCCAACCAACAGTAAAATAACAATAATATATTATGTTATTGAAAAAAAAATTATATGGGAAAATCACGAAAATTTCATTGTTAAGATACTTAACAACCCCCCTTTTTTATTGTAAATTTTCCATTTACCATGAAATTTACTGTTTTGTACAACATAAATCAAGGTAAATTTATTGTAGACGTAACAATATAAATCATTGTTAAAACAATAATTTTCGTCTTATTGTTACATTGTTTTTTAATGTATTTTTGTTGTTATTTTTTTTCGGGTTAACTTGAGCATAACATAACATAACTTTAACTTATCTGTAACATAACTTTAAGATAACGTTAACGTTAACTTAACTTAACTTAGCATTAACTTTAACTTAGCGTTAACTTAACTTTAACTTATCTTTAACTTAATCTTAACTTAACTTTATCATAACTTAACCTTAACTTTAACTCATCTTTAACTTAACTTTAACTTCTCTTTAACTAAACTTAACCTTTTTTTACTTAACTTTAACATAACATTAATTTAATTTTAACTTAACTTTAACATAACTTTAACATAACTTTAACCTAACATTAACTTAACTTTAAATTAACTTTAGCATTAATATAACTCTCACATAATTTTGACATAACTTTAACTTAATTTTAACTTAGCTTTCGCATAGCTTAACCTTGAACATTACTTTAATTTTAAAATCATTTTAATTTTAACTTCACTCTAACGTAATTTTAACTTTACTTTAACTAAAAATGTTGTTAACTAAATTTTAACTTAAATTTAACATAACTTTAATTTAACTTTAATGTAATATTAACTTAACACATCTTTAACTTGACTTTAACTTTATAATAACTTTAACTTAACTTTAACATAACTTTAACTTAACTTGAACTAAACTTTAACATAACCTTAAATTAATTTTAACTTAAATTTAACAGAACTTTAACCTAACATTAACTTAACTTTAATTAACTTTAAATTTTATCTTAAATTTAAAATAAGTTTACCATTAACATAACTTGAACTTAACTATAACCTAACATGAACTAAACAGATCTTTAACTTAACTTAAACTTTATAATAACTTTAACTTATCATTAACATAACTTTAACTTAACTTGAACTAAAGTTTAACAAAACCTTAAATTAATTTTGATTTAAATTTAACATAACTTTAACCTAACATTAACTGAACTATAACTTAACTTTAAATTTAATCTTAAATTTAAAATAAATTTAACATTAACATAACTTGAACTTAACCTAACATAAACTTAACATATCTCTAACTTAACTTTAATTAAACTTTAACATAACCTTTACGTAATTTTAACTTAAATTCAACATATCTTTATCCTAACATTAACTGAACTTTAACTTAACTTAAGCATAAACATAACTCTAATTTAATTTTGACATAACTTTAACTTAATTTTAACTTAGCTTTCACCTAACTTTACCTTGAACATTACGTTAACTTCAAAATTATTTTAACTTTAACTTTAACTTAAACTTAACTTTAAGTTAACTTATACTTAACATAACATAACATAACGTTAACTTAACTTTAACGTAACTTTAACTTAACGTTAATTTAACTTCAACTTAACTTTAACTTACCTATCACAGAACTTTAACTTTAGTTTAACATAACTTTAACTTTAAAATAACTTAAACTTAACTTTAACAAAAAATTAACTTTAAAATAACTTAAACTTAACTTTAACTTTAAAATAACTTTAACTTAACAATCTTTGTACAATTTCACTGGTTCAGATCAATCACGGAGTGCAACTATCGATACGTGCAGTCAGACTAAGCTAAGCTAAGCTAAGCTAAAATAACTTTAACTTAACAATAACTTTAACTTAACAATAACTTAAACTCCAACAAAACTTTATCTTTCCTTTAAAATAACTATAACATAACTTTTTCTCTTACATAACTTTAACTTAACTTTAAACTTACTTTAACATAAATTTCACAAAACTTTAAATTAACTTTAACTCTACCTTAACATAAGTTAAACTTAATTATAACTTAACTTTAACTTTAACATAACTTGAACTTTATTTTAACAAACTCTTATCTTAATTTTAGCTCTCATTTAATTTTAGCTTAACTTTAACATAACTTTTACTTTAACATAACTTTAACTTAAACATAACTTTAACTTTAAAATAACTTTAACTTTAACTTCAAAATAACTTTAACTTTAACATCACTTTTAAACTTAATGAATGATTCAAAAAAACTTAACATTATCATAAAATTAACTTAACTTTAACTTTATAATAACTTTAATTTTAACATAACTTATACTTTAGTTTGAATAAACCTTAACATAACATAATTGAACTAAACATGAACTTAAATTGTGCTCAACTTTAACTCAATTTTAACTTAACTTGAACGTTACTTTAATTTTAAATTAATTATAACTTAACATTATCATAACTTTAAATTTAACATAACTTTAACCTAACTTTAACTTAACTTTAACTAAACTACAACATAACCTTAACTTAATCTTTACTTAACTTGAAATTTTAACTTAAATTTAACATAAATTTAACTTAACTTTAACCTAACATATACTTAACATATCTTTAACTTAACTTTAGCTCTAACTAAACTTTAACATAACCTCAACGTAATTTTAACTTAAATTTAACATAACTTTAACCTAACATTAACTGAAGCTTAACTTAACTTAAGCATAAACATAACTCTAACTTAATTTTAACATAACTTAATTTTAACTTCGCATTCACATAGCTTAAACTTAACTTTAACTTTAACATAACATAACTTTAAATTAACTTTAACTTATCTTTAAGATAACTTTAACATAACGTTAACATAACTTAACTTTAACTTAACTTGAACATAACTTTAACTTTAACACAACTTTAATTTTAAATTAATGATAACTTAACATTATCATAACTTTAACTTAACTTTAACATAAATTTAATTTAAATTTAACGTTAACATAACTTATAACTAAATTTGAATAAACTTCTACTTAACATAATTTTAACTTACCGTTAACTTAACATTAACTTAAATTTTACTTAACTTTAACTTAACGTTAACTTAACTTCAACATAACTTTAACTTAACTTTATCTTACACATAACTTTAACTTTACTTTATCTTAACTTAAACATAACTTTAACTTAACTTAAACGTAACCTTAACTTAACTCTAACTTACCTTTAACGTAACTTTAAATAAATTTTAACTTTTACTTTAACATAAGTTTATCTTACCATCAACATAACTTTTACTTTAACATAATTTTAACTTAAATTTAGTTGTTACATACTTAATTTAACTTAACTTTAAATTTTACTTAACTATAATAAAACTTTAACTTAAACATAAACATCGGGATCCGGTATCGGAATGCGTTAAATCAGTAAGGATGCTTAACTCAGCCGGATTCCTCCTGCGGATCAATTTTGGAAAATAGTTACATCAAAATTGATCCGTTGGAGGAATCCGGATGAGTTAATCATCCTTGTTGATGCTTTGCATCAGTCAATTAAATCCGCCGGATTCCTCCAGCGGATCAATTTTTGGAAAATAGTTACATCAAAATTGATCCGTTGGAGGAATCCGGATGAGTTAATCATCCTTGTTGATGCTTTGCATCAGTCAATTAAATCCGCCGGATTCCTCCAGCGGATCAATTTTTGGAAAAAAAAAAATACATCAAAATTGATCCGCTGGAGGAATCCGGATGAGTTAAACATCCTTACAATAAGGATGCTTAACTCAGCCAGATTCCTCCAGCGGATCAATTTAAAAAAAAAAAATAATTACACTTAATAACAAATTGTTCAATACTTACCTCTATTCCCGAACACCTCCGGAATTATTGGAAGCAGGCGGCTGAAAAAAAAAACAATTACAAAATAATCAAAATTTTGGATCTGTTTGTTAGAATTTGTAATTATTTTTCAAAGGATGCTTAACTCAGCCGGATTCCTCCAGCGGATCAATTTTGGAAAATAGTAACATCAAAATTGATCCGTTGGAGGAATCCGGATGAGTTAATCATCCTTGTTGATGCTTTGCATCAGTCAATGAAATCCGTCGGATTCCTCCAGCGGATCAATTTTTGGAAAAAAGTTACATCAAAATTGATCCGCTGGAGGAATCCGGATGAGTTAAACATCCTTTTTGATGCGTTGCATCAGTAAGGATGCTTAACTCAGTCAGATTCCTCCAGCGGATCAATTTTTAAAAATAATTACACTTAATAAAAACTGTTTAACACCTACCTCTATTCAATTTCCGTACACGTCCCAATCCGGAATTATTGGAAGCAGCCGGCTGAAAAAAAAAAATACAAATTAATCAAAATTTTGGATGTTTGTTAGAATTTGTCATTATTTTTCAAAATTGATCCGCTGGAGGAATCCTGATGAGTTAAACATCCTTGTTGATGCGTTGCATCAGCAAGGATGCTTATCTCAACCGGATCAATTTTTGAAAATAATTACATCATGAGAAATCCGGATGAGAAATAACAAATAATAACACTAAATATAACAAATATTTGAATACTTACTGTTAAAGTTGCTACTTTCCTTCGCGGCTCGGGTGAAGGAATTTGCGGTGCGCTCCGTGCACTCAGCCATCTTGTCTAGTTTGTTTATAAACAAACCAGACAAGATGGCTGAGCGCACGACAAAAAAAAACACACCAATTTAAAAACGTCAGTCTTTAAGTCGCCCAATGTCAAATGACGTCACTTTGTCGCCGGCAATTCGTGTGTAAGCCCTACAGTAAAAGTATGGACGTCTGTCAAAAGTTGTTCCAATCGAACCGTCAAAATGCACCGCTTTGCTCGATTGGAACAGCTTTTTTCAGTTTTGTGGTGTCAGTCGTCCATACTTTTACTGTAGGGCTTTATTCGTGTGGGGTGCTGTATTCGTACACGGTAAGAAAAAAGTACCCAACGGCCAGTTCACTTTTACCTACTTTTGACTAGTTTGTCTCCTTTTCTCCTCCTCCATAGAGATGAACTAGCCTAAGGCTAAAAATCTCTTAAATAAAGAATTAAAAAAAAAAAAAAAAATCCTTTTCTCCTTCTAATGTTGTCAAAAACGGAGGAGCAAAACCACCCAACAGGGGTAGTAAGTGTATTCGTATACACGGATGCGGTATACACGCTAACTTGAAAGTACTCATTAATGAGTAAAAAAAGACCCATTTTGAAGAAAAGTGGTTTAACTCATTGATGATTAAACAATTTTACCCATTAATGAGTATCTGTTACCCATTAATGATTAACAATTACTCATTAATGGGTAACAGATACTCATTAATGGGTAAAAATTTACTCATTTAATGAGTTAAGCCACTTTTCTTCAAAATGGGTCTTTTTCAACCATTAATAGGTACTTTCAAGTTAGCGTGTACAGCACACTATAGCCGACGTTATGTTTAACGTACAGAACAAGAGTAAAATCGGTTTTCAATTGAAACGATAATAATCAATTAAAACACTAATTAACTCTTGCACTGTAACGTCACCAGGGCATTGTTTTACATACAAATAAACATTGCCCACAGGGCATGCCAAAACTTCTTTCCCACTGCGAAAAAAAAAAACTGTACACGGCCAATGAGATCAACGCAAATTTGAGTACAGTGTACTCAATATCGAAAAAAGTGCAGGATGAGTAAATTTGCCGCATGTTTTCCTGTGGAAAACCTCAAAAATCTGCCCTAAAATAAGGAAAATTTACGAGAATCCAGAGAATCCAATCTTTGCTTTTCTCATATTCGGAACATGAGGGAAATTAATTCAAAACTGAGTTCCTGCACTTTTTGCGATTTATGAGTGAACTAACCTCAAATTTGGGTCGTTCTCATTCGCCGTGTAGTGCTGACTCAGGAAAAACAAACATTGCATGCGGCGAGAGACCGAGGGACAACAATTTACATCGTTATGAACTTTGATTCTAATGTAACGTTTGGTTCTGTTGTCATTGGATGTATTCTGATGTTTTATGCGTGCAACAAATTACATCGTGATGATGTTTGATTCTAATGTAACGTTAGGTTCTGTTGTCATTGGATGTATTCTGATGTTTTATGCGTGCAACAAATTACATCGTGATGAAGTTTGATTCTAATGTAACGTTAGGTTCTGTTGTCATTGGATGTATTCTGATGTTTTATGCGTGCAACAAATTACATCGTGATGAAGTTTGATTCTAATGTAACGTTAGGTTCTGTTGTCATTGGATGTATTCTGATGTTTTATGCGTGCAACAAATTACATCGTGATGATGTTTGATTCTAATGTAACGTTAGGTTCTGTTGTCATTGGATGTATTCTGATGTCAAATTTTACATCGTCAAGACGTTTGATTCTGATGTAACGTTTGAGGCTAATGTATTTTTATGTACTTGGACGTCACACTGACGTCTGAATACATTAAGATTACAGCAATACACGTTAAAATTTAATGTATTGAAGATGTCTGCTGATGTTTCCTACATTACAATTTCTATTCGGGGCCCCCTGTGCTTCATCCATACGAAATTGAAAACTTTCGTTAAGAAGTAATTAATTTTTTATTTGAGAACCACACTATGTGGAACGATTCCACTGGGGGAGAGACAGACGATTCACAAGCAAACAGTCAGAGGAATGGGTATACAAAAAACAGATACGTGCTATTATTTGCCCTTACCGTTTCTACTGCTTATACTGTTGCTGCTCTGCCACAATAGATGCCGGTCGTACACACCGTCCGTGCGGTGGCTCACTGCTTTCTGCTGGTTATTGTTTCCAGTTGTACACACCGTCCGTGTGATTGCTACTGTTTATCCGTTCTTGCTGCTAACTATGGATAATGTTGCGGCAAGAATTTCAATATCGTCGAAGCGGGTTAAAGTTGAACAGACCGACCGTAGGCTTCGCCAGGATCGGCTGCTTCCTTCCGAAATGCGCCTAAGGCACAAATACTACTTGCAAATAAAAAAGTTTTCGCGGTGAAAAAATACTTTCAATGCAATGCCATGTGACGAGACAACAGACCCTGATGTTGCTCATTCGCTAGCAGAACGTGGAATGGATTTCCGAATTTGAGAAAAGTAAAGATTGGATTCACTCAGCCTGTTGGTACTACTCCGAGAGTGAATAAATTTTTAGTCCATTTCCTCATTTTCCGGCAGATTTTTTATGTTTTCCACAGGAAACCATGAGCCAACCCTAATAAAAAATAACCATAAACGAACGATAACCCAAATCATTGAACTATTCCACAAATGGTTTGGATGACACCCAGAACACGTCGTTAAGCAAATCAACCATACAATTTTTATTAGGGAAATTTTACTCATCGCTGAGTTCCCGCACTTTTGGCGATTATAAGTGAACTAAACTCAAATTTGGGTCATTCTCATTCGCCGTGTTCATTTTGCCTTTGAGTAAAAGAGATGGCAACGAATGGGAGCCGAAACAAACCACCCAAATCTGTCAAAATTTACGGGAGAGAGAATAGTGCGGCAAATCTTCGTGGACTGATATATCTCTAGATAGAGCTGGAATAAGGACGAATGTCGCAAGTGAAACAAACTGAGGAATGCATCACGTTATACTACTATTAAAATGCTACAAAACGATATTCAACATTTTTAGAAAAATAATGTACAACTTTAAAATAAGAGCGAAACCAACTTTTTTTTTAATATGGATTGATTTGTCTCTTACGCCCGCTTCCTCCAATATACATAGATGGGGCAAAACAGACAATCTTTTCACTATTCCTTGCAATTACCGGTTCGTAATCAAAAGGAAACATTGTTAACCTGATCGAAATACATGAAAAATAAGCGAAAACACCACAACACCTGAATTTATCAGGAATCCAACAAACTGCAAAAGGTCGATAGTAACAAACCATCAGGGAAAAGAACGTAAAATTTAAGGCAAAACTTACAATGTCAAAAGCTAGCAGGCGAAACACAGGGGCAAAATGACTTCTGTGAACGCAGCCGGGTGAATTACCTCGGGGCGATACAAGGTACTTTAAATCAAAAAGGCGCATGCAACATATTCATTTTGGGGGCAACCCCGGCGTAGTGGTTAACATCCATGCCTCTCACGCCAAAGTCACGAGTTCAAATCTCACCCCCGGCCAAGTCACGAATAACCCAAGAGCACAGACAAACAGACATAACACTCACAAGTTGTTCATCGAACAAGCATTTAACGGTCAATTTAAAAGTATCTCAGTTGGTAGTACTGCCACCTGTGGCGTGCATAGTCAATTCCCTTGCGTTTGACGTGTACACACTACCGCCATCTGTTCAGCGTACTACCCACCACAGTTTACTCAACAGATGGCGGTACTGTTTTAGCGACGATGTTTTACAATAAAAAATATTCAATGTGTTATGTCTGTTTGTCTGTGCCAAGAGTGTTAAAGTGACTATAATAAAAAAAAACATTCATTTTTTTCGAGCTGTAAGCAAAACTAATAATATTTTTATTTATCTCACAATAATGCTACCAAATAATTTAATAATTATTGAAATGGGTTTATAGTTCATTCAATGTTTAATTATTCTTGTTCAAAATTTCAGATTCATTTTTCTCAGTTCAAGCCCATTGTGACATTGGCCCTTATTCCAGCTCTATCTAGATATATACTCCCAACAACAAACTAAAATCTGAGAAAATTTCCATTCTAGATTGTTTTCACGGTCATCATAAACATATCAAATTCGTTTTTCTTTGAGTTTTCAGGAGAAAATTGTGAATTATCAGTAATTGTGCTAAGCAGCGAAAGTTATAGAAAGTGGAGATTTACTTTTTGTATATCAGCGGCATTGTTTTTTGTTTGTTTTACAAGAAAAAACATTACCCCCTCCAAGAGAGCATCGCGTTGAGCTGAAATCAGTGGGAGTTGAACAAAAATAACATTGTTGGATTAATTTGTTCTTGTTTGTGTCATCAATCGCAAAATACAAATGTAGAAAATGTGCATTTTCATACCATCAGAAGAATGCAGCAAGAATTTTGGTAGAGGCAAAAGTAAAGCAAATATTTGAATATGAATTTTCAGGTAAGAGTTGTGACATACCTTAATCTTATTTCTGTATTCGAGAATTTTACGTTGCTCATTTACAATAGAGATCGACTAGTTGTACTGGTGTAGTGATGCTTTTTCCATAATTTCCTACTTTAGTGATCAGATTAGATCGCTAGTTTAGTTACTAGTAATTACAGTTTTCCCTTTCTGTTTATGACATCCATATAGGTAGTATCATGCGAGACGTGAACAATAGTCTCTCGGCGTAGTTAATCCAACATGGATAGGACTAGTAAACTTATAGCCCCATTATCGTTGTCACTGCCAGAAGAGCACAACGGAGAAGTGAGACGATCGTCATCATTGTCGTTACATAAACCTAAACATTTCCAGCATCGTTTCGGTGTTCCGAAAATGCTATTTCTTTTACTCTTCTGCGGTTTACCTTTGGCATCGTTTGGTTTGTCTTTGACGAAAAATTCGCAGCATCAATCGTGCGACAAAACCAGGCGAGTATTCACTGAGCCGTACGGTGAGATCAGCGATGGGCCATCCGGATATAATTACACACAAGATTCGCACTGCGAGTGGCTGATACGAGCTCAGAACGAAAGCCAATTCATCTCATTAACTTTTCGGAGCATGGGAACTGAGTGTTCGTACGACTATATTTTCATCTACGATGGGGACTCGTTTCGTTCGCCGCTGTTAGGGAGCTTCAGTGGGAAAACGGAACCGCAACGAGTGACGGCTTCTTCTGGCAGTGTAAGCTCTATGGACAGGTCAGATGCAAGCTTCTATTATTATTTACCAAATATTTTAGATGCTGGTGCTCTTATACAGTGACACTAATTATGTCCTGGAAGGATTTAAGGCCGAATTTTCCGTAACAAACTGTCCAAATAACTGCACGAATCATGGAAAATGCGTCGGACATTCATGTGCTTGCGAAAGTAATTGGGTTGGGCTTGATTGTAGTCAGGATGCATGTCCAGATAGCTGCGGTCAGGACGAGGACAGAGGAATGTGTATGAATGCGAAATGTGTCTGTTTCAATGTAAGTTGTTTATCTATTGAAACATAAATGGTTGAAGAATATCTCGCTTATTCGTATTTCCAGGAATACTCCGGTCAGTCATGCAGCCTACATAAAAGTCGTCCCACACCAAATGAGTGGCATTGGCTGTCCAATTCGAAAAATGGTTTAGCGCCGCGAGCTACACATACTGCCGTCTATTATGCCCCCACTGATTCTCTATACGTTTTTGGTGGCTATAATCTGAACGAAGTGCTGGATAGCCTACACATTTACCGATTTGCCAAAAGCCAATGGGAAAATGAATGGGGTCTAAATCTAGGTAGCGAAGAGCTTCGGAGTGCACGCCAGACGAACGGGAAATCCCAAATAAGAGTGCTCCTTTCCGAAGAAAACAGTGGGCCTAACTTTTTCAACACCGTCATCTATTCCCTGACTGACAATAGGACGGGCCCATTTGGAAGGGTGTTCTCAAATGGATCTAGGCCAGTCGGGCGATATGGACATGCAGCATGTACGGTGAAAGACGGATTTGTAATTTTCGGAGGAAAACTAGCAGGCGGACGTTTGTCCAGTGATTTGTGGTTGTATAACATTAGCGATAATAATGGAACATGGTCGGAGAGAGCACAGAGTTCAACGTTCAAACCTCCGTCATTGACAAGACACACGCTCACCTTTGCTAATGACTATCTGTATGCATTTGGAGGAGCATTTGAAAATGGTGAATTTTCTTCGCGATTGTTTAGAATCAGGCTGTCGACTGATCCATCCGAGGAGCAGTGGGAGGAAGTAATCCCCAGAGGTGGAAAGACACTAGATCTTCGTATCGTGGCACATACTACATCCTATCATAGGCATAGTAAATCATTGATAGTGTACGGCGGAGTTGTGGCAGGGGTAGCTAGATTTTCCAAACTATCGGATCGCATGTTCTCGTTCCATTTGGATCATTTGCATTGGGCTGAAATAATGTATCCACGGACGCCGTTGAGAGATGCCTACATTCCGCGTGAACGAGCTTTTCACACGACTACCATCAACGGGAACTATTTGATCGTATTTGGAGGTTATTCACATCGTCACAATAAAGAGGAGATTTGTTATGATAATCAAATGTACTTGTACCATCTGGGCTGCCACAACTGGGTCAATCAAGACGTTTTGGGAAACAGCCGAAATGCACGGTACCCCAAACAGCAAGGTGTGTTTGCTCACGCTGCAGCATTGAGAAATGGAAACACTCTTTTCCTGGTAGGAGGCTATCATGGAAACGTGAATGGTGATATGCTTGCTTACACATTACCACCGTTGCTTATCGTTGAGAACGAGGAAGATTTTGAACCAGAGTCTGCCTGCCCAAAGCATACTTCAGTTAACGAATGTCTCTCGGATCCGGAATGCGGATGGTGTTCAGCTGATAATGTATGCTACGGTCGGACGGTAGGTGCGAATTGTACTACAAATCTACAAACAACACGATGTCGTGGCATTTGTCCAGCTCTTGGAGATTGTCATTCGTGTTTAATTCATGGTTCAGCTGCGAAAGGAAGCTCCAAATCGGTGTCAAACAAGTTGGGCTTTGATCGGTGCACATGGTGTGTTCAAAACGCCCGATGTCATCACAAGAATGATAACTATGGAGTTTGTGGGGAAGATACGCCTTCGCAAAACCCCGGATGGTGGGGTTCCAAGGGAACCGAAGTTTTAACACCGGATCAATGCACTCTGAAAGATACACGTCCAGGACTAACTTTCCTAAAATATCTGGATCCCGTTAATTGGTCCATGCCCGATTCGGTTATGGTAGTTAATGCCACCATGGTAGATTTTAACCTTCCATCAACCACAACCCACACCGAGCAGTCTTTTAACGGACAGGTTGTCGCTCGATTACTTGGATTCATTCGGCCACCGCCAGTTTGGGAAGGTGCTGGTGAACGACTACGGGCTTGTGCCAGTTATTCCCAAGCTGTACTTCGCATGGCCTCAACCGATTTGAGTAACACAAACTCTAGGAAAAAAATCGTCCCCGTGGTAACAGCAAACATCACCGCTAGTCAAACTGTTTGCGAAATGGCTCAGTGGAGAAGTTTGGAGCCCCGATTCCGAGTGATGGTCGATTTCCAAGCCAAACGCAGTACGAACGTGAACATCCAAAACAACCATCAACAGATCAGTAAAATGGGACTCCAGCACAGCGCTATCGGCCAAGAAAATCCCAAGACATTCACGTTCGAATTTTTGGAACCATTTTCCAACGGCTCATGCAGTTCCTATATGAACTGCCTTCACTGCCTGTCCGATTCGCTCTGTGGATGGTGTGAGCTAACAGTGCAGTGTGTTTCACGTCAGACAAATGAATCCACGACCTGTCGGAAAGAATCAAATTGGCGTTATCTAACTGTTCAACCGGCACAATGCTCGAACTGTTCCAACCACATCTCGTGCGAACAGTGTATTGAGACCGGGATTTGTGAATGGTGGGCAGAGGATGCTAGGTGTTCACGAAAAGGACGATCTGTGACGGCGGTTACCGAGCTCGAACAATGTCCAGTTCCCTGTTATCTACGCGCCAATTGTTCCACATGTTTAAACGAACGAGGACGTTGCGTTTGGTGTGAAGCTACGAATCAATGCTTCAGTTTCTCCGTTTATACGAGTGAATACCAGTTTGGGTTGTGTCGAGAATGGTTGGATCAAACCATGCCAACACCAACTAGTAGCGGACAGCTTCCGAATCAACCGGTTCAACAGTGCAAATCATGTGGTAGCCATAAGAATTGTTCCCAGTGTTTACGGTCTCTAAGTTGTGGGTGGTGTTACGACGCGGATAATCCTATCGAAGGCATGTGTATGCATGGTGACTTCAACCGGTCTACGCATAGTTGCCAGACAGCTTTGAACACAACTGTGGAGAAAGCAAGATGGTCTTATGCTCAGTGCCCTGATGTGGACGAGTGCGAATTGGGGCTGCATGATTGTCACGAGCAAGCGGAGTGCTCCAACACACACGGTTCATACACCTGTCGATGCCGGAAAGGTTACCTGGGAGATGGAGTTCGGAATTGTATTCAAACTTGTTACGAAACGTGCGTTCATGGGTATTGCTCCGGTGGGCCTGACTACAAATGTCAGTGCGACCTGGGGTGGACCGAAATAGATTGCAGCCAAAATTGTGAATGCAATAATCACTCTACTTGTCTCCAGGGTGTAGGAAAATGTGATAAATGTATGAATTGGACTGAAGGCCAGTATTGTGAGCGATGCAGTCCAGGAAGTTTTGGTAATGCCACATCTGAGCTGGGATGCCAACCATGCGATTGCAATGGACATGGAAATGAAGCTTTGGGTATTTGTGATTCTCAGACGGGTGAGTGCTATTGTCAGGATAATACTGAAGGATTGAAATGTGAAATGTGCAACCGAAACTTTTTCGGTGATCCCAGAGGAGGAGGACAGTGCTACTATCAATGCGAACCGCGAGGCGTGCTGACAAATATTGGGACCGAAGGAATCGGATCGTACCAATCACACCGATCTGTGCGAGGTGGTACAGAGGCTCGGGAATGCTTGTGGATTATTAGCCCATATGTAAAGCATGGAGTGGAACTGAAGAATGCTATAATTCAATTCGAAATTGAGCCGCAAGATATGAACGTTACTTGTGGTCAAAATGCAGTATACGTGTACGATGGTTTACCGGACCTAACGGGAGCTACTCAACAGAAACAGTTGTTGGCTGTGTTTTGCAGTGAAGATAAAAGTCCATGGATAACCGAAGCTCGGTCAGGTCATCTGACCATCCATTACAAGCAAGGAGGACATGGTCAGGGCTTTAAAGCAGTGTACAGTGTAATGAGTTGTTCGATCAACACTTGCAAGCGTCCATATGTCTGTATTGACGAAAGATGCGTTTGTCCGAAAGGCTTTGCCGGACCTCGCTGCTCGTTGAAAATATGTCCTTCAGATTGTAATGTCGATTTGAAGCAGGGAGTTTGCGATGTCGGGTACGGACGTTGTACTTGCACTACTGGGTATGGAGGCGCCGACTGTTCACGTCCCATCAAGCCATCGAATATTGTGTTTCTGGAGCTGTTCAACTCGTATCTCATTTCCGACAGCTTTGAACACCTACGCAAAACGTTACCGCGCTTTGGTCACTCTCTGGTCGCAGATCGTCGTGGATCGCTTTGGATGTTCGGTGGATACTCCTTGTCCCATGGACCGTTAAACGATATTCGTCAATTCGACACGAAAAATAACACATGGATGCAAGTTACGGTCGATTCCAGCCCAGAAGACCGAATGCCCCTGGGGAGGTATTTCCATGCTGCAGAAATAATATTCTCAAAGCAAGCGATTTACATTTATGGAGGACTTTCCCGGAACCAATCTTCATACATAGTGTTGGATGATTTCTGGCAGTTTGGCTTACAAACTCAACGTTGGAGTATGGTAACTCAAAATGGATCAAAGCCACCACCATTGGCAGGGCATACGATGACATTGGTGAAAGAGGCTGACAAGGAAATCCTTCTTATAATAGGAGGATTCTCTGTCGCAGGTGGCATGCACAATCATATATGGATGTTTGATTTGAGTTCAAACAGCTGGTCAAAGGTACTGACCACTGGAGCTAAACCCACCGGTATTTTCGGTCACAGTACAGTTTGTCATCCAACCAAACAAATCCTGTATCTTTTCGGAGGAATACTGTATTCTGGCGGTAGAACGAAAGTTTCTCATAAGCTTTATGCGTTCAGCTTCAAGAATCTCAAATGGACCGAGCTACCGGTTTTTGTTAACAGACCAACGGATTATGTTCCTCAAGCCAGATATTTGCATTCGGCTGTCACTACCGATAACTATATGTTGGTGTTTGGTGGCAGGACGCACCCTGGAAGCGAAGGTGATGCAATAGTAGCTTACGTATACAAATGTAATCAATGGATAAAGCTGAGTGGAGACATTGAAGTAATAGGGAATAGTTTCGACAAGACTTACGCCCAAGCGATGACCCAAGATCCGGACCATGATGCATTCTACGCGGTCGGGGGTTGGGATGGAAGCAGCTACAGTCGTGTTACAAAAATCATCATGCCGCAAGATCTGTGCGATCTCTGGAGCAGCTCTAAGTACATTTGCCGACAATATATGGGCTGCAGCTTTTGCGCAATCAAAACAATGGAAGAGTACATCTCTCATTGCTACTCGGTGGGAAATTCTGATATTTGCGATGCACAAAATGGCACACTATCATTCAACAACGGTGCATCGTGCGACGAAGAATGGATGTCAAAAAGGAATTGTTCTTTGTTTGATACCTGTTCCACCTGCCTCGCGTCGTATCCATCTCATGTAGAAGTCAATCCTGTTTGTCAATGGTGTACTGAATGCGGTGTTCGCGGAAAATGCTTGCCATATGACGTCGAATGCAATGGCGAGAAAAAGTGCCTCTCCAACAACTATACAACAATCACGGATTTAGATAACTGTCCTGCGTTCAACTGCTCTGCTTCTGATTGCGAGAACTGTCATGCAATCCCAAATTGCTCCTGGACATTTACTGGGAAGCACTATCAGTGTCAGTTTCGAAACGAAACCGATAGCAATAGGAAACCTGCCGCCTGTCCTCCCAATTGTCACACATACACATCCTGCAGCACTTGTCTGAGTCAGCCATCTTCGGAGGGTGGTTTCGCAGATTGCAGATGGTCAACCCAGTTGAATGAATGTATTTCCCCTAGCTATCAGCCTATCTACTGTGCCGGTAGCATCTGTGGATTGGTCTTGGACCCATCGAATATCGAACAATGTCCGGAACCTTGTGGCGCGTTCATTCAATGTGCCACATGTCTTCGTCACGCGCACTGTGGATGGTGTTCACGAAATGGTACCGAAGGTGATGGGGTTTGTACGGAAGGTTCCTTGGATAGTCCGGTGGATTATCCGGCAGCTTCGACATGCGACGTTATCTATAGCATTAAGAACAATATCACAACAATCGATCGGAACGATAGATTCAGTTGGAACTACGTTAAATGTCCGCCGGAAAATGAATGCGCAAATAGCCATCACAATTGTAATGTGAAATCGGAACGTTGCGTTGATCTGCTACATGGATACGAGTGTCAGTGTGCCAACGGATATAAATCTGATGCTGGAGTTTGTGTTCCTGTCTGCAAGCAAGGTTGTGTCCGTGGACTTTGTACCGAACCGGCCAAATGCGAGTGTGATTTTGGATATGTCGGTGCCAATTGTAGCATACAATGCCAGTGCAACGGGCATTCCAACTGTGCTGGACCTGATCAATTGGATAAATGTTTGCACTGCCATAACAATACGCTTGGTACCCAATGTGAAAAATGTATGCCCTTTTTTGTTCGAGACCCGCGGAACAATGGAGAATGCATTCCATGCAGCGATTATTGCTACGGTCACACCGATCTTTGTGTGGCAAAAAACATGGAGCAAGTAGTGAAAAATATGAGTCGAGTTGAGCTGACAAGTTATCTCATAGAAGGACCTCAATCGGATGCGGTTTGTCTACGATGTGAAAATTTTACCGATGGTGATCGTTGTGATACCTGTATTCCTGGTTATTTTCGTGGAGCTACAATTGCCAGCGATCTGTGTCGACCGTGTCAGTGCCATGGGCACGGGGATATGTGCGATCCGGTTACCGGAGAGAAATGCAACTGCGGCAATAACACCGAAAGTGACAACACCTGTTCGGCGAAGGGCAAAAATCTGGCATACAGTTGCTGGTCTATGCAATGTACAAAGTGTAAAGATTCATACTCCGGCCACCCGTCCAATGGACACCAGTGTTACAAACACATCACGGTGGACTCTAGAATGTGTTTTGACGCCAAAACAATAGGTAAGTGTTTGCATGCCTAATTTCAAATATTTTGCGTATAGTCAACTCTCCAGAGATGGCCGGGTACGTAATTTCAAATACCCGAACCCGATTCATAAATAATTCAAGAACCCGTACCCTACCCGAATCCTAAATGTGATTTTTTTTTTAATACACGTACCCGACCCTAACTCATCGGGTACGGGTACGGGTTGAGTTGTGTCCTGATCATCTACAGTTCATTGAACACATATACAGTATAGCCGCTATATCATACAGTTACAACGTAATGTAAACAGGCGAGACAGAATTTGTCGTCTCTTTCGTTCTACTACACAAAAAATACCCTGAACCAGGCTTGCAATTGATCATTACAGCTAAAATGCTATTTTTCGTTATTATGAAACAATGGGATACTATATAATGATAATTTTTATGTGTAAGATGCAAGAAGAGGTGGTAAAGATTGTAAATTGATATAAAATTTGTCAATTTTGCTTTCAGAAGGTCACAACCAGCGATTTTATGATCGCTGATTGCTCGCTCATCGTGTTGCTCATCGTTACAGCTAATCGCTAGTTGTGACCTTCTGAAAGCAAAATTGACAAATTTTATATGTCATATACAATTTTTACCACCTCTTCTTGCATCTTACAAATAAAAATTGTCATTATAGTATCCCATTGTTTCATAATAACGAAAAATAGCATTTTAGCTGTAATGAGCAATTGCAAGCCTGCCCTGAACACGTCGTTAAGCAAAATAACCACATATAGATGCACCGTAGATCACATGATTTTGACATTTTCGGGCAATCTGACACACTTCGACAAACTAACCTGACCGAGGTATGGCAGAACAATACATCTTACTCTTTCACACTTGCATCGCAGTGCTGAATGCTAGAAAGAGTAGTCACATACGCATTATGCGTTTGTATTGCATATCTTACAGCTGTCGCATACACCGCATGTGTGTGTTTTGCGTCTATTATGAGGGTATGAGTGCAAAATAATTGACAACAGAAAAAAGCGCTTATCACGCTAATCAAATGCTTGATTGTCGCCCCCGTGAATATAAGGCTTAGCTTACTTGACAAATATAAACCATCATATTAGTTATTACTTTTTTTCTTTTTTCTTTTCAGATGAATGCAAAATCAAGCCACAACCCCTGAAATCCGGACAAACAGTATTTTTTGTAATACAACCGCGATACATGAATGTCGACATTAGATTTATGGTGGATGTAACGCAAGGTGAATTAGATTTTTATATGAGTCCCAACGATGAGTCATTCGTAGTGCATTCGAATAGCAGTTCTGGGCATCACGACATTTTCCTAGATAACCGCTACTCCTGGCAGCACGATATAGTAGATGTTTCACCCGTAGATACTTTTAGTCTGTATCCCCTTTATGTTAATGGTAACGGTTCTGATATAAATATGGAGCCACCCATATCAGTTGGATCGGCAACTCATTCTAACTGTCGAATGGATACGGAGAAATTTTTCTACGTGAAGGACAAAATAGCCAAGGATTTGATAACATACGTAACACTGTATCAGTGCAATTCACTGCTGCGGGTGTTTGGACTGAAGAATCGACTAGTTGTAACACTTCCACATACTATACATTCTTTGGGTCAAACAAAATTTTACATAGCATTGCGAGCGCGCACCGGTTCAACGGCTAGCTATGGCCTGGTATTTTTTCGTCAAGATCAGCTGCACATACATTTGTTTGTGTTTTTCTCAGTATTTTTCTCGTGCTTCTTTTTGTTCCTCGCGATTTGTGTTCTCGCATGGAAAGCAAAACAGGCAGCTGACATGCGGCGCGCCCGAAGACGCCATGTGGTTGAAATGCTGCACATGGCCAAACGTCCATTTGGTAGAATAAATCTTACCTTAGACAGTCCCAGTGAAACCCCCGCCAGCCATCGAAAGCGAGGTCGAAGCAAACATTTGGTGCAACTTCAGCAGGACATTGCGCCGGTTGCGTTAGAGCCAACATCGGACAATATAGCCGCCGTTGGTACCATGTTCGTACGTCTTCCAGGCAAACAAAAGTCGCAAATTACTCTAGCACTGGCATCATCGTTAGTAGTCCTAACGCGAAACCATACCACGTACAATCGGGCCTTTCTTCGGCGAAGAGGTTCGTCGCATTATCAAGCTCAAAACATCCAACAACATTTACAGGGCCAACAGCAACAAGTGCCACCCATGTTCATTGATCTGCCACATGAACAAGTTCCACTGCAACCCATGGCATTCAATAGAGCGCAATAGATTACGTTGATTTCCAATTAAGTTTAGCATAGCTATTATTTTATTATTTTGTATTTTTTCTTACTCTCACTGTGGTTGGAAGTTACGCACAAGGTATATTTAATTGTTAATATTTATTATATTTAGAGAAAAAAAATAGCAAATCAGTTGTGATAATTTGGAAAAAAGTCATTTACGCAAGGTAGTACTTAATGTGAAACAATATGAGTTGGTTCACAAATTTTATAACGCGAAACCTATCTTCCCGGGAGGCTTTATTACATATTATATCTGACACCCGCAAACTCCTTCGTCTATCGCTATGAAATTCGTGAATTTGACTCAGTTGTAAAACAGATGTTTGCTGGAAGCTCCATTACATAGTTGAATGACTGTTGTGTATCTATTCTTATATTTGTTCGATGCAGTTTGTTATATAAGTCCGTATAATCGTATAACGAATCGTCTTCATAGTGAAGTTCCTGTAGACTTCGAAAGGGTTAAAGATTTACTTTATCTACGATACACAAACATTTTTTACAAATTGTCAAAATTGCCCCATATGTACAGAAAATAAGGCACTGATGGGACAGTTGTGCTTTTACGGGCAGTAGATCTGTAAGGAATTTGTGCTCCTTCTAAATTTATAGGAACAAATCCCTCCTATATTTTATCTCAAAAATTTAGCCTTTAATTTCCTTGGTGCTGTACCAAAATTCCTGAAAGTTTTTTTTTTGCAACAAGTTAGTTAGGGTAGATGTACCAGATATGGCTACACGTTCCTATTATGGTGTGTTCCAATTATGGCCTATGGGAATTCCATAGGCCATAACTGGAACACACCATAATAGGAACGTATGGCCATAACTGGTCCACCTACCCTATCCATTCTATAATTAATTCTGAAATCCGCCGGGAGCCTTCCACCAGGTGGATAATTTGTAGCTATACCATAGTCTTCTATTCCATGATTTGAACTTGAAGAATGCCACCAGTTTCTTCAAAAATATACCATTGCATTGATATGGGGCAGTTTGGCCACCTTAAAATAATCATCACTAATGATACCAATTTCAGTGAAAAATCGAACTATTTTCAATATCATTGATACAAATTGTATATAAAAACTAAACTTTTGACTCATATGAAAAAAAAAGATTTTTTTTTAAATAGTTTTGCAACCGAAATACAACCGTTATGGTAAAGAATATTCTGTTCTGAACTGTTTTATTATAGAAAGATTAAAAAGAAACAATTATTTTCTGTACATTAAATTTAATTTAAAACTACTACCTGCTTAAGACTATATTTTTACAGTCCTATGACTGACTGATTTTTTTACCAAAGCGCGTGATTTCATATCATACAGTCAAATTTTAAAAAGAATAATGCAAAATCGGTGGTGGATGTAAGTAGTTTTTTTTTTAATATAGGGGTAAGAGGAGCATAGTGAGCATCCCGCACTTTGGCTCTGGATCTCTAGCTTCATGAAACAAATCAGCTGGTAGTAGGTCCAATATCATTATGATATTGATCCTACCACCGATCAGTTTGTGACGAACGGCCGGAAGTCCAAGCTGGTGCACGGGATGCTCACTATGCCCCTCTTACCCCTAAGGGCGTTCATCATTCATGTTGCCCCGAATGGACTTATGAAATATTTTGTTAAGAATAACATTTATCTTTATTGAAAACTAGAAACATATCGTGTCATGTAAGAAACCATTGACCAGTTGTGTAGTAGCCGAAGGAATACTATAGATTAGTTATTATAAACTACTGATGAAGCTTATTTCCTGAAACCATACAACATTTTTGACATTATGAGCTAGTCTAACACTTTTCGAATATTCGCACTAGGAAATTAATTTTTAGACTAAAATGAAATGAATAGTTCCGGTAGGCTTCAAACATTAAGCCTGCAAGAGATTTTGTAAAATATATTCCATTAGTTGATTTTTAGGGAATAGCCACATTTCCCTATGTTGAAACTGCCCCACTTTTCCCTATTTATCATGAAATTTCCTTATAAAACATAAACGAGCGTATGCCTTAGAAACAGGTATTATTAACACTGCATTGAACAGATATCTAAGAATGTTTTACTGATGTCAACACATTCATATCAGGCCATCTGCACCTCTTATTTCACATATGAATCTGCTTAGTATTAATTAGTCAAAACCGAAAGCATTACTTTGTCATTATTATATTTAAGTTGTATTTTTGTACAAATATGTATAATTCGAACATTACAATCAAAGACAAATATTTTTAGGCAAAATATTGAATAAGGTGCTGTCTTGAACAGTTGTAACTATATAGACAAATATGCCCATTGATCTCGTGAGTTTGATAGGAGTGTATGTGCGTATGACAGGAAGAATGAGAGCACGAGTGCAATTTAAACGATACTAATAAATTCAAATCAGACGACTGAATGTTGAATACAAACATCGTCACCTACCTAACAGGTACGCATAAAGGTATCGACTGTTCAACAGAAGATATTGATTCCTCGATTTACGTGACGGACGATAGGTTTAGGAAACAAAAACTAATTAAAATCGTAAGGAAGCATTCTGTTATCAAAATAATTTTCACTGTTACTAAATTATATGTATTTTGAATCTCATTATTCAAAGACAAGTGGTGAACAGAAAATGTAGACGACAACATGTAAACAGTGTATATTTTATATGACAAACAAATTTATATGTAGAAACACAAATACAATAATGCGATGAAATCTATTTTATAACTCTGATTGATGACATACCATAATTATTCTCATCAGTAACACTACCCAAGTAACATTGCAAGCTTTATTGAGGTTTTATAGCATTCTTCAATTCTAAGTCATGGTCTACAGAACCCTCATAAAACCCAAATTGTTACTTGGGTAACTAAAACGCTGTCCAGACTGGAGAGTTATATGTAACATGTTATAACGGTTGTCAACTAATTTCAACACAGAAACCACCATCAAGATAGCGCTATAACATGTTATAACTCTGTAGTCTGAACGTACTATAAAGCGCTATCCAGACTGAGCAGTTATAACATGTTATAACGGTTGTCAAATAATTGCGACACAGAAACCACCATCAAGATAGCACTATAACATGTTATATTTCTGTAGTCTGAACATGCTTTAAAACACGGACCCGACTGGGCAGTTATAACATGTTCTAAGCCTATCTTGATGACATTTTTCTTGTCGTTAATTATTATAACATGTTATAAATCTGTAGTCTGAACTAAGTATTTGAACAATTATTTGAATTGAAACATGCATATAAAGTGAATTGCAGTAGAAAATCTCACGCGCGGAATAAGTACACTGATTTTTTATTAGACCTTATTCCGTGGGTGACATTTCAGAATGCTGTCACGTTAAAATCATTCCGTATTTGCTTCGTCTACATTATGCTCTGTTGCCGTGTGGATCTATTTGGCTTTTGCTAATAGAACTGTTAGTGCTACCTAAAGCTACAACAAATTTGAACAAATTACCTGCAAGTGTTCTACCTTTTAGATTCTTATTCCACTTCGATCCTTGTTTGGACCCTTCCCCAATAAAATTTGTATGGTTATTTTGCTTGAACTACGTGTTCGGGGTATCATCCAAACTATGTGGAAAAGTTCGAATATTTGGGTTATCGTTAGTTTATGGTATTTGTTTATTAGGGTACCCAAGGTTCCATGGATATCGTTTTGGAAATTCCTCTTCGATCCGTCGGATTATCATAGTAAATTGCTTGGGAGTCGATTTGGAGAAACTTTCTTCTGCCGCCAAACGCAAAAGAAACGGGCATTCTCTTGATCCCCCTTCTGATGATATTTATTTGATATGCTCACGGATGATGAGAATGGCCCATCATCCAGGAAAAATCCTTTAAATAATCCCGGCTTAATGTCAAGAAGGAAAAGGTCCCCCCTATGTTGATAACCACTTCTGATTTCCATGCTCTTCGCACGGAACTTTTGAACTTCGTAAAATTCAAGTTTTCACTTCAAATTGGCCGTCGGGTGAATGCCGTGTATTGGCTGATTCCTTGGACAGATTCAAACGTCTTCTCAAGTATCTTACTGAGAAGCAAGACAAGTTTTTTACTTACGATGATAATTAGTGCTAGCGGCGCCGGTGGTGTAGTGGTAAGCGTGATTAACTCTCACCCCAGCAGGCCTGGGTTCAATCCCAGTCAGCGCCGCCGGGATGTTCTGCCATTGGTCCCCGGTTCATGAGTTGATGGGTCGATATGTAGGGTCCAGGTGTGGGAGCTGCCTCCCTGGCGTCGGTAGCATTGGTGCTCAGCACGGAAAACAAATCAAGGAAAAAATAGTGATAGTGGTCTACCACTCATTGTAGCACGGAAACTGATCCGATAGCTGTGGAATCTCCTCACTGTTGAACTTGATCAAGCTTAATAACCTCTAATTGTCATCAGTAAATTGCTGTATAAAGGACCAAACACGAATTGATAAGCAATTCGCCTATTCATTTCCTTGGGACAGTTAAGAATCTCCTTCCAACAACTTGATCAGCCAACGAGCCATCCAACAGGAAGATGCCCTAATGAATGGGGAGAAAAGCCCGCCCTTTATCCACGAAATGTTAGCAACAGGGAGTTGACATCTTCACTCCCCCCAACCAATTCGCTTCAATTGGGTGCCTTGATGGTCCCGCCTCATCCCGAATTTTATAATAATCAGATAATCAGAAGCATAACGTCTACAAAAATATGCGAGTCGATTGAAATCTGCCGAAAATAAATGAGGGCTAAATTGATTCTTAACATAGAAGCGTAGGTGAAGGATAAGAGAAAGGAGAGTCAAAGTTGTTGACACGCAGAATTAGAAGTCTTCGAGATTGAAGCGCATGTTTGAATATCGTTGATCCACCCAACTAACATTTTCAGCTTTTTAAGCCAACTTTCCAGCGTTGTGCCGTAAAATAGCTGAAAAAGCTGCAGATACAGCTACAAGCAGATGCTAGTAAAATAGTTTCGGAGAGCGTTTACTCAACTTTTTTTACAACCAGTTTGTGAATATTTACTCATTTGATGGCTGCTACACAACAAACAACTCTTGCTGAATAACATAAACATCAAAAGTGCTTTTTACACAACTAAACAACCTGTACTCAGCTAATAAATTGTGTTAGCGCTACTTTGGAAGCATTTTTACAGTCAACTAGGTTTATTTTTAGACGTGTGCAGTTTTTCAGCTTTTACCTGCTCCTTTACAAAGCTGAATAAACAAGTCGAGACAATTGATGCATGTGTACTATTACATCAGTTCAAAGTGTTGGTGGTGTCAAGGTTTGCCAATGCGGTCGTCTCGAGTTAGATTCTGGTACAAGGTAAATAATTTGGTTATGTGCTTATAACTAATTTCGATTAATTTGATTCGCAGTAAAATAAACTGAATGAATTCCTCCAACAAAAAGCGTAAACAATCTTTAACCCGGCTTCAAGAGAAACCTGCATAACCGGAAAAAGGTTGAATAAGCACCTTTCAAGTTCACGCACAACTAAAAAGCAGGATAACAGCTGTATAGAGAAGCGTAAATTGGTGTGCAATAAAATAAGGGCTTGTCCCAACCGTCCCAATTACCATAAGTAGCCGACTAAGTTCGCCAGGTTTGCTTGTATAAAAGTTGAGTAAAGGTTTTCTCAACATTTAAATACAGCTTGAGGCTGTATAAATGAAATGAATAAAGCGAAATGAGAAAACGCGTCGGGTTAGCTTGGAGGGTAATGTGATACCTCGGGACGTTGATCTGCCTCTTCTCGTTCGATCGGTGTACTGTTCAGACGCTAAAGAACAAAAGTTGGAAAAAGTATAAAACGATAGTGGATAGTTAGTCGATTGAAAAAAGTTAATGTGAGTTAATAGCCCTAGTTTTTTTTTACATTTTAGTGAGAAGATAAAGTGGAAATAATAATAAAAAATTTATAGGCCCTGTGCGTTAGTGTTAATCGGCAATTGTGAGTAAACCCGAAAGTTTCATTCTATCCGTTAGTCTAAACTAAATTAAATTATAGTAAAACCGTCACAATTGATCGACACTAAAATAAACTGTGCCGTACGGATATACAGCACGTGCAATATTCCTTCGAGACTAAGGTAAATATCTATTCCTCACAAATGGTAGAGAAAGGTCAATTAAGCAGGTAAAGCCAAAAATTGTAATGCAACGTTTATTTCTCCGTTTATCCTTGAAGGACATAACATTCCTTCAAGTGAAGGGAGTAGCGACAGCCACGCTATTCCTAGGGACGAATTCGAAACCCGGCGGCTTGTAGGCTTGCCCTCGTCGTCACGCCAGTGTTCGTCCCGCACGTACCCTAGGGCCATCCGAAGGTCATCCACACCTTACGAGGACGATTCGGAAGCCAACTGCCGAACTGATTCTCTTTCGGTCTCGAAGGGAAGCGGTGTGAGGTGGTGCCACCGGTACTACAATTACGCACCCCGAAGAAAAATCGGTGCGAAGTTCAATCGGTTACCGACACAGACACAAACCTTCTTCACGGACCGACAGCATTGGTTCCTCTGCTATCCCGCCGCTGCAAGCAATTGTCACTACTGTAGCCACGCATCGGTAGGCTGTTCTGTAGATTCGCCGCTTAGTACGGCAGTACCTTTCACCGTCGGTGGCGCAAGGAGTCTTCGTATGTGAAAGGACTCATCATCATTCGCCAAAGGCATATACAGGACAAATCCATCCCATATGGATAGGAAATCATCAGTCCCATATGGATAGGAAATCAAGCAAAGATGGGACTGATCTGCGATTATGGGTAGTATATATGTATATATCTGCAATGAACGTTCGCAAGGCATCTCAACAACCAAAAGAAGAAAAAACTAGCAAAAATAGATTTCAAAGATTGCAGTGGTCAACCACGGGTTAGAGAGAGAGAGAGAGAGAGAGAGAGAGATAGTTGTAGAGAGCGAGAGCTAGAGAGAAAAAGCGAAGAATTGTAATTTTTTTTAACCTTCCATTAAGATTGCTTTTTACCGGAATAAATTTGCAAACCTACGTACGCAGAACTTAAACTAATTAGTGCAGGTAGCACTATACACACACCGAAAGGGAAAGATAGAGGTGGATCACAGCTTTGTTCGGTTTCGTTGATGTTTTCCCCTCGTTGGTTATTTTTTGTGCCTGCAATTTCAACGGTGAATTGCGAAGCGAGTGGGTCGGTATTCGACTAATATACTAAGAATACTCGCCTTGAGGAATCTCGCCGGGAAGGAACTTGCTGGTCCACATGCAAGCAGATTCATTGGCTTGCTTGGCGCATAAGTGGACCGAGTTGTATATACTTCTGGCCTCGTAACACAAAAACCGTTACACTGTTTTACCTTTTATGTTTTACTTATCTTCAGAGAAGTCAACCTTGAATCGTAGACCAGGTCCATTAAAAATACAGTTGTTCCGAGAAGGGGCTCTATGGTGCCACTCATACTGTATAGTCATCTTCTTCTTCTCCAGGTTCAACTTTATCCTAACGTAAATTTAATATTATCACCCACATGCCAGCCACACCCGAAACCCATTTCCCACCAAGGGGTGGTCACTCTACACACTTAATTTGCCCCAACATTTTTCTTAGTGTACCTCAGTGTACCTCAGTGCGAGCCTTAGTGTGCCGCAGCTGTATCGGCAGTGCCAAAAAGTCATTGCTTGGCAACCCGGTATTTTAACAGCTCTTGTTTTTGTTTTGATTTTCAATGTTTTCAAAAACAAGCATCTTCGGCGGAAGGCCGACCCCGCACAACGAACGTCAATAATTAGTCAACCAGCCCTTCTGGGAGCCGGCGGAGGAAACGGATTTGCATCGAATTTGTCACCGCCCGAGTATCATCCGTCGGAAAACTGGAGATCAACACCGGCCGGAACACACGTCGGACTGATGAAGGACGCACCGCTAACTCGAAACGGACCAGCCAACTTCATTCAACCGGCACAGCAACAAGGCGCAGTGATGATGGCCTACGGACTCGATAACAACACAGCCAACACCGATAAGCTGTTCAATTTATATCGCCTGTATGGAAATGTCAGAATAAAGTTCCTGAAGACCAAAGAGGGTACCGCCATGGTCTAGATGGGAGACGCCATCGCAGACGAACGTACACCCTGCCGGACAATTACTTCCCAGGCCAGCAAAAATCGTATTCTCCACTTATTCAATACCCCACCCGTATGCCGTCCGATGCTCTGCTGCTGACTGCATTTTCACCACCAAGGACTGCCACCCGTCGCAAGTGCGAATGTTCCTACTGAAATCGGAAAGTTCCTCCTCCGGATTGGTCGAGTTCCCGAGCGTAGCCCTGGCGGTGAACGCCATCATGAAGTGCAACCACAGCGCGATCGATCACAAATGCACAAAATTTCCGTTTATTATGAAGCTGTGCTTCTCCTCCTCCAAGAAGATGACCGGTGCGTGGAGTGTTAGCTTTCTTTTTCTGAGAAAAGAAAGGATTTTCCTTTTTCTGTGTAGTTAATGTTATGATTCGTAATTATAATTTCTTATTGTGTTAGTTGGAAGTGCAAAAAGGCAGGAGAGAACAAATAATTTGTTGAACTATTTGAGATTTTGCCAAGATGGTCTTCCAACATTATATGTTGGACGATGGAACGGTTGGTGTAGCAGTAACCGCCATGGATGTATTCGAGCTGTTCGAATGGTATAGTTTTTGTTTGGTTGTTGACTTTCCGATTAAAACTCAAGCACTACTTGTCGTGACCGGCCCGAGATTTCCAGCGCCAGCCACGGCTACACGAATTAGCGATGCAGCTCCCATGGCTGCTTCCAATGCTGCTGCTGCTGTTCCTTCTGCTGGTCCGTCTCCTCTAAAATTCATAAAAAAGACGGACCAGCAGCAGCATTGGAAGCAGCCGCAGCCGTGGGAGCTGCATCGCTAGTTCATGTAGCCATGGCCGGAAACCTCGGTCAGGTCAAGATACCGCTGTCAGCTGTTCTTCGTCTGGGAGGAAATGTTGATGCGACTGCCGTCACGGGTGTAACGATTTTGAGAATCCATGGCGAGACTTGGTGGAGATTCACGGTTGCTTTGAAAATAATTTGATTATAGTGTGGCAACATCAATAACAAATTTTGACACATGCACACTGCGTAAGCACAAAAAAAGGTCAGTGTTGCCAGTACCTTTAAAGATAATAAAAATTGTAACCATGGGTGCCAAACAGCGTCAATAACGACGCCTAAGTGTGCCCCAGTTTGATTTTGGCACACTGCGTAGAGTGACCAACCCCTTGTTCCCCACACAAAATCAAATAAAAAGGTTTCTGTATGGCAAACTGGATGTCGAAAATCAATGTCCGGCGCTATTTTGAAATCCTAGATGGCGGCCATCGGTTAAAAAAAAAAGTAAAATACTCTAAAATATCGATATTTTTTGACATATGTATACACGTCACTCCTGTTCCAAAAATACCATTATTCCAGGGTATTTCACAGTTTTTTTTCTTCTGAAATCGATGGCCACCATCTTGAATTTTAAAATGGCAGCGGACATCAATTTTCGATCTCTATTCGTTATCCCGTTCCGAAAATACCCATATTATAGAGCATTTGATTTTCCTTGCCTTATATGATCTGTAACACAAATGATGATCGCATTATCGTTTCCAGATCGGTCCTGATCATAAGTGTAACCAAAAAGATGATGACATTATCTTTATATGATTCGTTGATTTTGATTCCCTGCAAAATACACGAGAAAAATATTGACTATTCATACAAAACGTGACTAAATCTTCAAAAAATATTCTCACAAATGTATTTGACTCATCCGTTCTTCATGATATAGGTACTTTTATAACCTAATAAAAAGATAGGCCTATGGACATGCGTTATCTTCGAAAGATCTAACCAATCTGAGAAATCTATCAGATCACCAAAAACCAAAAAGTTTTATGTTTTTATGTATTTTCATGTAAAAATGAAAATCAACTGAAAGCTAATAAATGAAAGCGATGAATGCGTGATTATTTCTCGTCAAAACGAGCAAATTATATTGAATCTCTTATATCGTATGCTAATTAACTGTAACAATAATATAATCCATTAAAATAAAGTTGTACGTAAAATTCGTAATCATTACTTTATTGATGAGAAGTTTCTTATAAGCCCTCCCAGTTCCTCTGTTCATAGAACAAATCTGATACTATGATCAGAATTGCCCAGTCTGCATGAAGCAGCCGATTTCATCAAGGAAGTTCTATCAACAACCAATAATTAATCATTTGAGGATTACTGAAGTATTATGAAGGTGATATGTAACAATATGACAATATGAGTAATTTTAGATTTACTGTCTGACCAATTTATTATTACTTCATCAATGCCGCAGGATTGAAACTTTCGACACTTAAATTTTTGGAATTATTTCCTGAACTTTGAACTCTTTATAGATCTTATTTAAGGTTCCGGGGTACGTGAAAAAAGCATCGGTTGAATTTTTCTGTAACTGGAGACACTAGTACCGTAGATCAAACACGATTTCTGTACTCATGTTGCCTGATAGCGTTTAATACCTTCAGATTATGTTTTGGAGCACTGTGTGACGCACATTGGATGTTCGGAAAAAAACAATACACATAAATTCAATTGGTACAGTTAAAATATATTAAAAGTTGTAATAACAATACATTAAGAATCAATAGAGGCTAAACTGCTCATAAAAGCATATTTGTCCCATATGGGACAGTTATGCTTTTATGGGCAGTAAACATAAGTTATAAAGGAAAGTACCGGTAATGTGCAGTGTTTCGCATGCGTAACATTATAAAGCAATGTAAATGTTAAACTCATCTTTGGAAAGAACAAAAACAATCAAAATGTGCGCACTCGTTACGTGAAAAATTACAAATTAGACGTTATTAAACAACAGTAGCCTAGTTAGCATTGAAACAACACAAGGGGTTTGCTTTTTCATGTGATGTTCTGGATAGTTGGGAGCATAAGATTCATATTCATAAGCAACTTTTTGTACCACGAAGGTAAGCAGTGTTAGCATATCATATCTTTGTCCGTTTTCATTTAATTCGGTACACAGTTCACGGATGAACCATGAACCATTTCTGGTGTTACGGAATGACATGAAACCCGGAATGGTCGCGAAGGCAAACAGGAAATCTGCATTCGTAGGAATACTGTATCTTGCAACACCATCTTTCTCGATTTTCAATCCAGCATCTAGCTCATTCCCTCGGCATGCTTGAATGATAAATATTTTAGGTTTCCCCACAAGCGTCCGACACCGGTCACCGGTAAATTGTGTCCACAGGCTGGATATTTGATAGGGACAATCGTGTGCGTAGATAATTTCACCATCATCTCCATGTGATAAAACAGCAACCAAAAGGCAGTCACTATTGGAATGGTCCATTGATGAAACTGAAAAAAAAAATACCAAATTTAGCATATTGCTTTATTCATGTAATGTACCTATATTTTTGAACAAACCTTTCTCCGTAATTTGAAGAATATCTTTCAATCGCTTATCCCTATGCAAATTTACGTCGAATCCCAGCCGTTCGAGCGATTCAGTCAGCATTTTACAGTCAACTTCGCTGCCGTCTCTAGTCGGTAGTTTAACATTTGGCACAGCAAATATTGAATGTGTAAAAATTATAGCTTGGCCGCGGCTTCTATGATTCATCGGATAGTAGGACGAATAGCGTTCAATTGTATAGGCAGGCGTCGCGGTGGGACGAATCTGCGGGGAATTGACTTCTTTGCGCCCAAACATGATTTTTTTCATAGTCTAAAAGTATTATGCTAAACAAAAGTTAGAAAAGATCTCAAGAGATGAAACATTTTACTATTGCAAATTGAAACAAAGAACTTTCACTGAGTTGTTGGACAAGCGCAACTGCGTATCCTTTTGTGACACAATTTTCAGTAACTAACAAGTGCCAAGTTCACTGACACCCACTACACCATGTAAAATATGAATCATACGTTAATTCAAGAGCGATGCATTCTAACGATCTAACGCACAACACGTGTAAGTTCATTGTTTTGATTTAATTGATTTAACATTACCTGGCACGTTAATAAATAGTCTATATTGGAGGTAGATTCGATTTCAGCCTTATCAATTTACACGAAAATGGAACTGAATGACAAACCGGGACTAGTTCGGTCATGAATATGAATGAAACTATTTTGAATGACTTCATCAATATTTTTCGGAGTGGCGAAATCTCGTCCCGTCATAACAGAGAAGATGTCAATCACATACATATGTACGAAACAACCAAACCACCAATACACAAACGGACTGCCACTGACGAATTTCATACCAAAGCGTTTGTGGGGTTGGCAGCATCCTCTTTTTGCAACTTTGCATGCACTAAAAAATCGACATAAGAAAGTTATTGCTAGAAAATATGTTTAAATAGAAAATTCCATCGTAAGCAATGTGTCGTCATTAGATAATTAAGTTGCCTTATAAATTTTATTTTTTATTTTTTATGACAGTGCAGACGAATTCTTATAATACACTTATAGATCAAAAGTTGGATTTCTTCCATAATAAAGTTAGAATAGTTATTTTGCTTAACGACGTGTTCAGAGTATACTTCAAACCGTTTGTAGAATAGTTCTATCATTTGGGTTATCGGTCGGTGTATGAAACGAAATAAAGCTAGATTTGGTCGACTCGGATTCTAAAACTAGAAAACAAGCCTGTAGATTTGAAGACATACTTCAAATCTCCTCGTACATCGTACGGGTTAGTCAACTTATTTTTAACTTCTATTCAATTTTCATACTACCGTACTCTAACGGAACTATCTACCTACCCTCTTCTAAGACCATTCTCTAGCTAATAAATTATCATACTAAAGCTTCATGTTAGATAGCATTTCCAACCAACTCTAGAAAACTGGTTTATTAGCGAAAAAGTGCTCTTAAGCGAACCCCACACGCATCAATATATTGACGCAAAGGGGAATTATTGACAATTATATTGATGATGTGAATACTGGTTCTAGAAAAAAAAAAACGGATTGTGCAAGAGTTTCTATGAAGATCCGACGGAATGGTTTGAAGTGTTGAGCTAGAACTAGGAGATGCAACAGTCTTCCAAGTGTTTGCTTCACGGGCAAACCATCGTTCATTTGGTGAGTTTGTTCCTGTTTATATATTCACCTGTTTCGGTTTCTACAACTTTGTCTTAGACATTATTTCGAAGAGCCGCTTTCGTGCTGTATTTTTATGAGAAATAAAATGTCGAGTGCGCTGTTGTCAAAGGTTGGGAACGAGTGGGTATGGCCAAGTTCCAACAAAGATTTGCCAATTGGTTCATTCGGCAAGAGAGTCGTCCTAGTGTTTTTTTTTTGGTTTTAGACGTTTGATGTTTTGTACCTTAAAGTTCCATTTTTGTGATCATGATTAGCCTGAAGAATTTTTGAACTAGTTTGGAAATAACCCGGAAAAGTCTTGGAACTGCCTTTGGTTCAACAGAAGTGCAGTAGGACAGTAAGAGTACAAAATTAATAAAACTGGCTGAGATCTTCCCTTTATTTTCATTTATATGTGCTTAAATTTATAATATATTTTCGTTCTATTACTCAACTGTTCGTGTTAAGCGTTGGATAATTTTGCGAGGTTTTTTGAAGCACACAAAAGGAAAAGTTCGCGAGTCATTGTGAGATTTAGAGAACTTTTTCTGTAGATTGATTAGAGACCTGTTTGTTCAGTTTTTACACAAGGGAGGATAGAACTAAGCTTCCTTCCTCCTTTTCCTTTCACATACGGTCTTTTATTCCATTTTTCTCTTTTCAGAAAGCGAGTATAGGGCTAAGACAAAAGTTAGTGCTCATGTCCCAACCACTCGAGGAAAATGGAGCATCATTTAACTTTTTTAGATTAGATGCTCCCAACGACATTTACGGTACGAGATGTCCATGTTTCATCCATTTGTTTGATTCTGAAGCACCTTGTTTAAATTTTTGATTTAAACAGGTCCGATGTTTTTGAATCATCTTGCCCCTTAAATGCTGCACAGTAGGCCTGGTCGTTTTGGTCGCATCTCTGGTGTACAAAATATACCAAATAGACAAGAAAAAGGATGGAGGTATATCTATCATTTTCAAGGATGCTTTCGTGAACTGGTGTTGGTGTTAGATTAGATTATATTGATGATGTGAATACAGAATTATTGTCAATAACGATGTTTATTGAACTGAACTGAACTGACCTGGCTATTCTATTGGCAAATCAAAGATGGCCTCCATGGAGTATAAAAGAACTATGAAAGTGCCCACGAGACATTAACGACCACCTCGTGTTAGTTCAGTTCGAATATATTTCAAACCATACTGCTCAAGTTCTCGGAAATACGCTCAATATTTGTCCGCAATTACTCAAATTCATCACATCTGTCGGGAGATGGGTTAGTCGCATGCTTCTAACTGACTGAAGAACTGTTGATACGTCATATGTGAAAACAGACATCTAGAAACTATTGGACAGTAATATAAGTTTGCACTATAAGAAAATACAGTACTAAATATCTGTGATCGTGATGAATATCGCCCACTATCATGCTTCGCATGCACACTTGTACACTCCAACTGCTCATTTGTTAATAGCTTTTCACTCAGTTATTGAAAATTGATTTTCTTTAAAGTAATTGATAGATTATAATCATAGCTTACTACAGATATCAAAAGAGTAGGTAAATCTTAACATTTGAATCAACACCAATCAATTTTTACACTGAAAGTCTGAGATGTGCAGCGGGCATTTCTCATTTGATTTTTTGCAACGCAAAAACAAATACAGTTTATTACTAGAATTAAAATCTTATTTTTCTTACGTACCTATTACAAGCTTATTATTATTGTTAACTGTGTGCAAAGTTTTTAGCAAATGAGCAGTTCGTGACCAAAACTGTGTATGCCAAGCATGCCCACTACGATATATATTATATGACAATCATTTACATTTTATTGGAGTGGCTTTTAACGATTTGTGATGTTTGTTGTCTAGCGTGTAAACAGACATGTAGAAGCTGTTGGACAGTCATTTAAGTTTGCACTACAATAAAGCCCAACAACAAATAATTGTTCTTGGAATGAATATAGCTCCCAATAAAATACATCGTATGATAGCTCTACATAAATTACTAAATTACTGATCCTGAGCCTGATCCGAACATACGTGGGGCAAAGACAGTCCAATGAAGTTGTCGGCTATGACAAAAAGGCAAACCCTGAGATGGATTTAAGCAAGATGCAAGTGGGACTGTAAGTTAATGTTAATTTAATTAATGAAAACTAGGTGGCTTGTAACCTTTTCGTTTCCGGTTTTATGTAGGCAAAATCCACAGCGGAGATTAAAGATGATGACTGATTCGCACCGTAATTCGATTGCCTAGGATGTTGCTTTCCCTGTTCGGAGAGGAGAGCTACCGAATAATCTGTTCGCATCAGAACACGGAACCATCATGTTGCAATCGCTTTTGACCATAAAATACTACCTCCGGACATTTATGGAAGACCCCGATTCAGGGGAGCAACGGTGAACGAGAAACTGAATGGTGAACCCTTCCCAAAGCTGGTACGAACGATTTCTGTACCAGCGAATACAACGTGCATTGCCGTTGGAATCCACCAGGCTGCCAGTACCTGGTCCACGTTCGAACCGATGGACCCCCGTCCAAAATTGATCGTTCGATCCCCAAGGTAAAGATCGAGAAGGAAGACAGCCACGATGTCAACATCATCGCTATTAGCCTCGAAAACGACTAATAATTATAATTTATTATATATTTTGGAAACAAAAGAAATATATGTGTGACCTTTCAATCAAATTATAAAAACTTTAAATGTAATATTTATTTTAATTTAAAATAAAAAAAAAGTTATTATGTTGAAAATGCTTGGTTTTAAATTGAAAATATATTTTTCAGCTTAAAATGGCACATGTTATTTTAACTATGCAGAATTTTCTCGTAAAACCTATGTTTTTAATTAAACATAATCCACTTTTAATTTCTGCACTACCAAACTTTTTATTTGACAGTACTACAATTCTTTTTAAAAGAAAGTAGCAGGAAACTTTTGAATTGACAGTTGGATTACTTTCATTTTGAAAGCCAAGCGCTTTCTACCAAAAAGAACCAATGCAAACCAACAATCAATACGAAACTAACGATTTTAAATTGGCTCACCACTTTAGTAGCCTATTGGTCCCAAGCAAACGATTAACGTACCCTATTCTAGTTGAAATTCTATTACTACACTATGTTTGTTTTGATTCGCTATGAAAGTTTGACAGATAACATCAGGGGTGTGTGGATTCATGCAGAACATGCAGGGGTGAGTGAAATAGCTTGGGACTGCTTGGGACCGTTGTTCTGGTACTGAGTGAGCCAAAAATAATAATGATTTTCTTCAGGACCCAGTGGTCTTAGAGTTACCTCTATGTGCAAACTTTTAATTCCACGAATGGTTTTTTTTAATTTTATTAGCGATTATTTTTTGTGTGTACTTATTATCCCACAAGATAAGCGATTCTGGATGTATTGAAAAAAAAAAATGATTATACTGCGATATTTACTTTTAAGCTAAGTAAATACGTTAAGTAGACGGACAACTCACAAAGTTTTATTGAAATCTGAGAGGGTGCTGCCAACCACTGGTCGAGCTGGCGTGAAATTCGTCAACTGTAAAAAAGCGGTTAAGGAGCTATCACCATAATGATTTTCACGTCCGCTACTACCATAGAGGTAACTCTAAGACTAGAAGGTCCCGAAATAACGTGCTCAACTTTTTGGCTCAGCTCTGGTACTATCTTCGGTCCCAAGCTAATCGATTAACCCCTCGAAACATAGGAAAAACCAATAACCCCTCATTTTATCTGTCAAACTTTCATAGCGAATCAAAACAAACATTGCGTAGTACTAGAATTTCGAATAGAATGGGGTACGTTAATCGTCTGCTTGGGACCAATAGGCTAGTCAAGTAGTGAGCCAATTTAAAATCGTTAGTTTCGTATTGATTGTTGCTACTACCATAGAGGTAACTCTAAAGGCCGGCGCACAATAGATACGTTTTCAGGTTTTTTGACAGCTAGCCCATGCATTATCTGTCAAAAAACCTGAAAACGCATGCATTGTGCGCCGGCCTTAAGACTAGTAGGTCCCGAAGAAACGTGCTCAACTTTTTAGCTCAGCTCTGGTACTATC